AGATGTGTTTAATGTGAAGCATCTTTTGCCCTACCATGGCGATAACATAGAGAATGGTGCTAACGGTTCTGATTCGAGGACAAATCCCATTGATCCCGAGGAGAATGATGAGGGTCGTGTGGAAGAACAAGCACTCGCATATTTGGAACGCCTGGATTGTCGACGTTCGAAGAATTGAGCGTAACTTTTGCATACGGTACCCATTTTGGGCCCATAAGTACTTTTCGAAAAGGTAGCGACCGTATGAGGGATTTTGGCCGTTTGAGATCGTTTGCTGGGTCAAAACCGCGTTTCATATTTATTAGTTCATCTTTTTTAATATTTCTTATTTTTGCGTTGTAGCTCAGCCCATTTAGGGGCTGCTGGCCCAGTAGTTTACCTAATTCTTGTCATATTTAAACCCCCAAAAAACGTGTGTTTGTTTCCTTGGTTGTTGAAGAAATAAAAAAGGTTATTGTTTCTTGCATCAATCCGTGAGAGCGAATATTTGTTTGAGTTTGTAGATCAGATCTACATCAATATCCAAACATCATACGAATTAGTTTGAATAAAATATAGTCTAACAATATTGTATGAAGATAATGAAACTACTATTGCACAAATCTCATAGATTATGTGAAAAAAGATATGATGAATTATATTTCTCCAAAATTCTTCTATACCTGAGCTTTCGAAGACCAATGATATCGGTGTTCACTCGAGTAATAATATGACAAACTTATTCATAAGAGTATTGCTGACGTCCACATTCAACAAATTGATACACGAGACAGGAATATATCAACTCAAAAATCTTCGGTGAGTAACACAAGGGAAAGTGGTTGTAATCTTTTTCATTCATTCAAGTTTTGTCCATTTTGAAAAGATTTAGGCAAATATTTTTCTATACTCCAAAATTATCTTCTTCTTTTTTCCCATTCTTTTGATATTTTTGTTTCATTGAATTTTCATCAAATAAGATTCTTAACAAGACTAAAATTGTGTAATTGGCAATTCAAAAAGGAATATTGTAAATTACAAACTAATTGTTGTATCCCAACAACCATAATTATTATAATTGTACTTTGTAGCCATAGCTCTCATCAATAAGTACGTAACTTTGATTTTCAATAAAATACACATAAATTGTTAATTTTAAGTGCAAAAATATTATATTATTCTGGAGCAACACTATACAAATTTATTGTATGAAAACAAACATGACTTCATCACTCATTTTTGGGGATTCAAAAATTCTAACATGACGCAGACATTTCACTTGATCAATTATCGCTCCAAACCCTCCACTAACGCAAATCAACAAATCATTCATACGTACACTCATAATATACATAGATCAAATAAAAGCTTTGTTATTGTTACATGTACATCAATGGTTACATAAAATGTAAGTGGCATTATATATATATATATATATATAGGGGGTGAAGACTTGAAGTCAATGGAATTATGGGCTTTCCTAATTCTAGACTATTCTATATTTCAACACACAAGCTTCAAGATGGTATGTGGAAAAGTGACGATAAATTTAGAAATAATATAAAAATAAGAAAACTCGTTAGAGAAAATAATAGTTTGGAAATTTCTCTTATAAATCAATGATGTATATTGATAAATCTATTGGCTCTTTTGATTTTCTTCTTCTTCTTCTTGTTTTTTTCCAATTTATAACAGAAGGTATTTTTAAAATAGTGTAACTTATAAATTAGATTATAGAATAGTTGTATCGCAATGATAGGTATTATAAACATTAAAACAGTATGACGCAAAGAAATAGAGAGTATGACTAGAAAGTTGGTGTAAAATGAGGACTTAATGACAATGAGTGTGATCTGTTGTAGGAATCTTGTCCTATTCAAGTAATTGCTATAGTTAAATGATTGTGCTGAGTACTCAATTGAATTACTGAAATTTGGTTCTTATCTCGTGGAAATTATTTGCTTATAGATTCCTGGAACTTGCACGCAGATAATTTATACTAATATAAAGCTTGTGTTTGTTTCCCATTTTGGTTGCAAAAAATGCATTTTTCGGTCAAATCAAAGTGGGCCATATTGCTGGCTTGTATTCTGAATTGAATTTGAAATACCACAAAATGCAACATTGCCCTTGTTCTATTTTACCATCAAGTGAAGAATCCATTAGCCTTTGTGTTGGAAGAAAAAGGGTCGCCCATGTGGGTTGACCCGACCCGACCCGGTTTGCATGGAAATGATTATTGGAGGGAGGAGTTGAAAATCAAACTTGAAAATTAATCTCCTGTAATCCATAACTTCCCAATATGCATCCACTCAACCAACAACAAGAAAAACTGCACAAGATATTCAAAATTCGGGTTCTTTCAAGGTGTAAAAATTGGATGCGGGTGGAGCTTGATTTTTGGGAAAATTACATCTCTAATTGGGTTCTTGGATTGTGAACAACAAACTTCTTTCTTGGTGATCGAGTTTTGACCAAGAAGCGGGTACTATGCGGTGTTGGAGGCAAGCAATCAATAGGTAAGTAATTCAACCTCGTTTTTAAGATTTTCAAGTAAGTTTCACAACTTAAATTCGGTTAAAAGTATGAAAGCACGTTTTACATTGGTATCAGAGCCTAAGTAAGTTGTTTTCTTGCTTAAATACATGCTGTAAATGTTTTAGAATGAATGAAATGCATGAATTTTTGTTTTCTTTGAAACCTTGAATGTCATTAATGGCGAATTTTGATATACTTCATATAAATTGATGAAATTTATACTGTATGTTCATGATGTTATGGAGAACATATCTGGAAAAGTTCACTTCATTTGGATTTGTATTTTGGAAGAAATATCAAACTCTAGCTGAGAAAATCGAAACTTTGTCACATGATGATTTCTTGCACATTAAGTTTTACGCTGCCTGTTTTATATGGTTGGATAAATCTCTTGAAACCTTTTCAACGATATAAAAACATAAAATTTGGCCTCGAATTGAGGAAGTTATGGCCCTCCGAAGTTTCACCAGAAATCTAAATTTTTTTTTTTTAAGGACGATTGTATTATAAATTGTTTAATTGCCTAATTTTATTTTTATTTTGTGTGATTTGTGTGCAATTTTTTTTATTTGTTTGTTTTTTCTATTATTTATATATTTAATTTTTATTTGTGTGCACTATCAAAATAATAATAATAATAATAATTCGTGTTTTTGCATGTTTGTGTGAGTTAGAAAGCTTTGCCGGCGATAATATATATTATTGAGAACATGCATTAGTTCATGGATTATGAATAGGTTATTTGTATTTGAGTTAGATTTTTGCTTGTTCATGTGAAACGGAAAATATCTTTGCACGTGAGTTGATTGTGGCGTTGTGCATGAGTAGGTTGATTCATGTTTATAGGTTGGAATAGAAAACTTAGATGTTGAAGTCCAAACAACCATTAAACATCACAATACCCTTAAACCAAATTTAGAATGTTTGGATGATTGCACTGTTGTAGGGAAATTTGGAAATAAATGTGGATTCCGTGTATGCTAAATTTTGTGTGGATTGTCTGATACCAATAGGATGAAAATTGGGTGAAAACCTTAAGTTAGAGGTCATTTTTCGAGAATAGATGTTTAATAAGGGGCATTGCATTAATCACTGAATTGGAAAAAAAATAAAAATAAAAAAAGATCACAATGAGGACAACTTTAATAATCTCATTATGAATCGTCTCTTCGTAGCCTTTATGACTCCAGTGATTAAGCCTGTAAGGGTTCAAAACCTGGTGCCTTAAAGTCGTCTGATTTGGGAGTCGTCGGCCTAAAATTCGCTACATGGGTCATTTAGAAAGCTTAAGGGAGAGACGTTCGCACAAAGGACGATTAAAGAATAAATTTATATTTGAGAAAAAAAAGAGAGAAAAAGAAAAAAAAAATAGGTAGCAAATGTCTTGATTAAGCCCCGAACACTTGTTTTAGAGGATTAGATCTTTGATAAGGGGTTAGTAACTTGGTTGATTCCTAGAGGTTGAAGCAGTCAAAAATAAGGAGAGTCCTCATTTTGTTGACATGTTGAACTGCAATCAGTAAAATCTAATCAAACTTGAGCGGTGTAAGATATTAGTATTGAAAATTAACTTTGAAATACACCTTGGGAAGTGAAAAGAGAACAAGTTTGGGTGTGTGTGAATCCCACGAGCGAGGCAAGGAAATATTTGACTTTTAAGGTCGGGAATTAGGTCAACTTATTATTGTACAACGTTGCACTTAACTCTTCACACACACACACACACACACACACTCGTTTTGCATTGAATAGGTGAGAATTTGGCTCGTGCATTATAACTTTGAAGTAATTAATCCAATTGACGCTATATTTTTAATCCTAAGGCAATGTGTCTAAAATAATTTTTTTTAAGTGATTTTGTGTGCTTTAATTATGTTTGTGTGTTTGTTAATGACTTTCTTTGTTTTGGTGTTTGCTCGAGGACAAGCAAAAGGTTAAGTTTAGGGGTGTTTGATGAGTGATTTACAGTCATTATATTATGCCATTAATTTCATTATTTTGCTATCTTGGAGAGTATTTTAGAGGTGCTAACATGTGGTTTTCATGCTATTTTGAAGGATGGATGAAGTGGAGAAAACAAGTGCTAAAAGAGGCCAAATGAAAGAAATAGGCAAAAGTTGGCGAAATTGGATGAAAGGACCAAAATGTAAGAGATCCAAAGTTCGAGGACTAAAGTGCACATAATCAAAAGTTGTATCGGAACTTAAAATGAAGATCCGAGAGTGGTAGGAGTCAGTTGGATGAAGGAAGGTGTCAAAAGGGATCAAATTTAATCAAGCCATGATCATAAATCATTTTCCAACCGAAAAGTTTTGCACCGAATTTTTAGTCCCACATTCAGACCCATTTTCGACAGAGCAAACGATAGAATTGGAGAATGATACCTGAAGCAAAGTTGTAGCCCTTTGAATTACCTTTCTAATGCATCTTGAATCACTTCAATTGGATATCGAACGAGAAAGTTATACTGAAAATACTGAAACATGCGCAGAATGCCGTTGCGGGCGAACCGGGCGCCCAGGCGCCACAATGCTGTAATTCCAACAGAAACTCAGTGCCCAGGTGCCCAAATTGCAGCGCCTGGGCGCTGCATTCCGAGAAAGGGAAATTCATATTTCTAAAATATATTTCTCGGTCCAAATCGACTCCAACCCGTCCAAAACTCCTAGAAACTATAAATACCACCCAAAACCTAAAAAAGAGGAGAGCCGCACTTTACAAATCTGTGGAAACCGGCCACGTATAGGGGGAACGAGCAAGAGAATTCTGGGGAGAACAGTTGGCAATTACAGAACAATTGAAGGGGATTTTCATTGGCTCAAACTTCTGGGATTGAGAAGGAAGAAAGGAGAAAAAGGGGCACGGCTGGAAAGACAAATACAATTGAAGGAATTAATTTTGGGGAAGAAATCAAGTTGCTACAAACGAGTTTTTCCATTCCTTTTTCTTTTTCCAGGTGCTTTCATTTTAATTTACTTGTGTTAATTCTTTCAATTATGCACTAAACTTTAATCCTAGGGTTGATGTAGCCT